CTCCCATTCTAATATTAGATATATGTAGCTTTTCCCCAAATCTCAATAATTAAGCTTGCATTTTTGTTCATTCTTCAAAAATCAGAATAATAAATACAAGCAATTCATATAATCTCTGAATTTACAGTTATTGTACTACATGGACATATAAGTACTATAAAAGTTAATTGTATGACTTGGACATATACATCACTTTTAGAAAAGTTCTACTATATACATTGACATATTATAATTTGATTGTTATAAAAGTAAATGTCAAGTTTTGTATGGACATATGACTAAAAAGATATCTTAAGTGTATGTATGTATGCCCTTAGCCAGGTTGTCTTTAAGGACGGTTATTTGGGGTCATGACGCTCCTACTTTAATAGTCAAACTTCAATCATAATTTTACTTTAATAGTCTTTTATGATATTTTTTATAGTCTTTTTTAAAGTATTTATTGATTGTATTTTGAGTGGGGTATGTCTGTACCCCTCTAAATGCCCTAGCTACAGTTGTACATAAGTGATACAGCAACACTTAAAAGCACAGCAAAACCATAAAAAGATATCTAGAGGGAAACATATATTACAGTCTAGAAAACTAACGGCTTAATTTATAACAATTCAATTTACCAAAAAAAACAAATAGACAAAATGGGAAGGTTAGATATTCACTGTATAAAGTTTTCCCTCAATTTTGAATGGGAAAATACACTAAAAAAATCACTGTATTGTATTGTTAAAGATGTAAGCAATCATAAACATGATTGACTGACAAATAATTGAGTACAAATAAACATGAGAATACACATAATTCTGAGAACTTTTAAGGACAGGAAATTATGTACATTGCTGCATGCTATGAATTGACGTTTGATCTTTTTATACGACCGCAAAAAAATTTTGTGGTCGTATATTGGTATGACGTTGGCGTCGGCGTCGTCGTCGTCGTCGTCGTCGGCGTCGTCGTCGTCGTCGTCGTCGTCGTCCGGCGTCGTCGTCCGAATACACAATGGTTTTCGCACTCTAACTTTAGTTTAAGTGAATGGATCTCTATGAAATTTTACAATAAGGTTCAATACCACAATAGGAAGGTGGGGATTGATTTTGGGTGTTATGGTACCAACAGTTAAATAATTAGGGGCCAAAAAGGGGCCGAAAATAAGCATTTTTGTAACTTCCAGACATAACTTGTGTGTTATTGTATGGATCTCTTTGACATTGTACTACAAGTTTCCATATCACAAAGGGTCGATGATGGGATTGATTTTGGGGTTAATTTCCTCGAAATTTTAGGAATAAGGGGCCAAAAGGGGGCAAAAAACAAGCATTTTTCTAGTTTCATGACAATAACTTGTGTGTAAGTGTATGGATCTTTCTGAAATTTTACTACAAGGTTCAATTTCGCAAAGGGAAAGCTGGAATTGAGTTTTGTGGTAATTGCCCAAAACGTTTAGTAATAAGGGGCCTAAAAAGGGGTGAAAAATAAGCATTTTTTAGTTTCTAGACAATAACTTGTGTTCAAGTGTATGGATCTCTCTAAAATTGTATTACAAGGTACCATACCACAAAGGCAAGGCTGTTATTGAGCTTGGTTTGGGGGGGAAGGGGGGTGATGAATCATAGGGGGGGGGGTCAAAAAAGGGGTAATTATTTTTTTTTTCGTTTAAGGAATAAGGGGAAAAAAGGTTAAAAAACTAGGGTTTCCATTTTAATAGACAAATAATTGAGTAAAGAACATTATTTAAAAGCAGTGTAAGGTTGGTAATTCAAACTCATTTAAATATCTCACCTGCACTATGTTTGAATTATGTAAATTGGAAATTTGCCAATTATTTTAGTATAATAAACTTCATTGGAAATTTGCCAATATAAAATTTTGCTGATGAAGGTTTTTTGTTTACCTTTAGTCTGACTATGATGTCATTTTCTATTTTAATAGCCTTATGATGTAGTTAATTTTTTTTTAATACTTTTATGATGTATTTTAATGCGCTTTTATGGTTGCAAATTTATTGTTTTAATATAATAAACTCCATTGGAAATTTACCAATAGTTTGTTTATTTTTAGCTATGACTATGATGTCATTTTCTATTTAATTTTAAGGTTACAAATTAATTTCAGTTTTAAATATTATTGTAAAATGTTTGCCCAAAACATTTATTAATAAGTGGCCAAAAAAGGGGGCAAAAATAAGCATTTTTTTAGTTTCCAGACATTAACTTGTGTTCAAGTGTATGGATTTCTCTGAAATTGTACTTAAAGGTACCATACCAATTAGGGAAGTGGGTCAAAAAATTTTTGTGGGGGGGGGGGGGGGGATTTTTTTTCCTTTTTTTTTTCTTTAAAATTTTCCATTTTAAGTTGGTTAATTCTGATCACAAAGAGAAAGTTGGAATTGAGTTTGGGGGATAATTGCTCAAATGTTTAGGAATAAGGGGCTAAAAAAGGGGTTAAAAATAAGCATTTTTTTTTAGTTTCCAACAATTAATTGTGTTTAAGTAATTGGATCTCTGTGAAATTGTACTGCAAGGTACCATACCACAAACTGAAGGCTGGGATTGAGTTTGGGGGGGCGTGATGTGTGAAAATTTTCCACTTAAAGTTGGTTAATTATTTCTGATTTAGATATAAAAGCAAATAATAATGATGTGGTTTGATTTTATCAAAAACTTAAATTGAAGTTATGTATATTGTAAATTTAGGTTACATTGGAATTTAAGAATTGGCTTTGGGGTAGGGTTATGGCTCAAACCTTTAAATAATAAGGGGAAAAAAGGTGAAAAAACAAGGGTTTCCAGGTTAATAGATAAATAAGTACAAAACATTATTTAAAAACGGTGTAAGGTTGGTAATTCAAACTCATTTAAATATCTCACTTACACTGCTTTTAAATTATGTAAATTGGAAATTTGCCAATAACTTTATTGTTAATAAATGCATTGGAAATTTGCCAACAATTTTAGTATAATAAACTTCATTGGAAATTTGCCAATATAAAATTTTGCTGATGAAGGTTTTTTGTTTACCTTTAGCCTTGACTATGAAGTCATTTTCTATTTTTATAGCCTTATGATGTAGTTGAATTATTTAATACTTTTATGATGTGTTTAAATGGGGTTTTATGGTTGCAAATTTATTGTTTTAGTTTAATAAACTCCATTTAAAATTTGGTAATAAAAAAAATTTTTGTTTATTTTTAGCTATGATTATGATGTCATTTTCTATTTTACTTTTATGGTTGCAAAGAAATTTTTATTTTTAGATATTACTGTTAAATGATGCTGATTAAGGTTTTTGCTATGTTTAGCCATGACTATGATGTCATTTTCTATTTTAATATCTGTCATGATGTATTTAAATGGGCTTTTATGGTTACAAAGGAATTTTATTTTTAGATATTACTGTAAAATGTTGCTGATTAAGGATTTTGTTTATTTTTAGCCATGACTATGATGTCATTTTCTATTTTAATACCTTTATTATGTAATTTCCATTTTTAGATATTACTGTTAAATGATGCTGATTGAGGGTTTGAATGCTGGGATTGATTTTGGGGGTAATTGCCTCCAAATTTTAGGAATTAGGGGGCAAAAAACAAGCATTTTTCTAGTTTCATGACAATAACTTGTGTGTAAGTGTATGGATATTTATGAAATTGTACTACAAGGTTCCATATCACAAAGGGAAAGCTGGAATTGAGTTTGGGGGTACTTGCCCAAAACGTTTAGGAATAAGGGGCCAAAAATAAGCATTTTTCTAGTTTCCAGACAATAACTTGTGTTCAAGTGTATGGATCTCTCTGAAATTGTACTGCAAGGTACCATACCACAAAGGGAAGGCTGGGATTGTTTTTGGGGGTAATTGTCTCAAAATGTTAGGAATTAGGGGCCATAAAGGGGAAAAAAACATGCATTTTTCTAGTTTCATGACAATAACTTGTGTGTAAGTGTATGGATCTTTATGACATTGTACTGCAAGGTTCCATATCACAAAGGGAAAGCTGGGTTTGAGTTTGGGGGTAATTGCCCTAAACTTTTAGGAATTTGTGGCCAAAAAGGTGCAAAAAACCCAAGCATTTTTCTAGTTTCCAGACAATAATTTGTGTTCAAGTGTATGGATCTCTCTGAAATTGTACTGCAAGGTACCATACCACAAAGGGAAGGCTGGGATTGAGTTTGGGGGTGATGAATCATAAGGGGGTTTCAAAAAATTTGGGGGGGGATTTTTTTTTCCTTTTTTTTCTTTAAAATTTTCCATTTTAAATTGGTTATTTCTGATTTATATATAAAAGCAAATAATAATGATATGGTTTGAATAGGTAAATTAAAAATTTTTAAGTTCTTAGACTACTTTCATTCTGTGTGAGAAACCTATGCTGTGTCAAATATTTAATTACAATCCAAATTCAGTGCTGTATCAAGCTTGAATGTTGTGTCCATACTTGCCCCAACTGTTCAGGGTTCGACCTCTGCGGTCGTATCAAGCTGCGCCCCAGCGGAGCATTTTATTGGTGTTGGTATAACAGGACATTTTTAAAGCTTATTTGCGCAATGGGTTATGTCATCAATCAATACATTTTTGTCAGTGATTGCTGTGTTAAATTATCAAAGGGTATGACTTGTATGATTAACCAATTTAATTATTAAGAAAAGAAAGATCTTAATTAAATATGCACATTCTTTTGATCTGTCGATCAAACCAAATGACTGATTTTATATTTAATGTTATTTCACCTTTAGGGTAAAAACAGTTTACTAATTGACATAAATAATGTATGAAATGTTTAAATAGCCATAAATCTTGAAATATGCAGGGAAATATACAAGGGGTAAAAATTTCGCATTTCTTTTGCTGCCGCGAACATTGCAAAAATTAAATTTAGGCAAAAAAAAAAAAGTAACAATTTACAGTATCATATTTCTGACTTGATATTTAATTGTATTGATCTAAAATTAATCCATTTAAAAATCACTTTGCTTTTGATTACCTCTTCTATATATATTTTTTTTCAGTACTGTAGAAACAGTTTTAAATAGTTTAGAAAAACATTTACCAGATACTAGTATAACTGTATCCCGGCCAAATGGGAGTAGTTGTGTGTTACAGGTATAGTAATTTATGTGGCCTGAAACTTCTAAGAAGTGAAATAATTTAGTTTCTGTGAATGAATTTTCTTGATTTAAAATATTTAATAAAAGTTCCAAGACATTGGTATTTTCATCAATTTTTTTCACTGAACAGTTGCTTCCATTTCTTGTGTATCCATCCAGCTGTTAACATTCTATTTTTACTGATAATATCTTATCATGAAAGAAGCTAGTGTTCCTTATACAGTCAATCAAAAGATATATGTGCATTCAGTTCATATTAGTACATACGTGCAGAAAATGTTATGTAAGTACTAAAAAAAAAACAATTGATAAACAAAATAAAAAACACTAAAAGAAACCTTTGGAAAATAACAGAGGGTTATTTGTATTATATTTTAAAGTTGTGATGGATTTCTGAGATTGTTTGTTAGATGAAATCTTCAATCATACAAACGTGTTATACAGTCTAAATTAATGTGGTATTTGTACAAATACTTGCATAAATTCCCTTTATATCTTTTGAATTGTAAATTGTATTTGCCTTCCAACAATAGTAGCAGTGCAGACATTTGCGCTTTGAAAAAACAGACGTGTCCTTGTGTTTTATGACTTCCCACCTTCTTTTACGTGGGCAATAGAATAAGGACAAGAAGAATATATAGTTATATTCTTAAACTCGTGAACTGTATAAAGCTGTTTGAAGAAATACGGGCAACATTTGATTGTTCGAACAAAACAAATTCTTCACCAAAACACAAACACACTAAATTTGTTGTACACGGTTAATAATAATTTTCTTATCTCTATCGTTTTTTTGAAGACATTTTTCTGACTGTTGTCTACACTGGACAATTTGCAATAAGTGAATTTGTTAATTCGGTACTCTGTACATAGACTTTGAAACAGACTTTAAATCATTAGGATGAAACAAAGACTTATCTTCAGCGTTGAATCCACTGCAAATAATCTGTGATGGTCTCTGTGTAAGGTCATCAGGGTATTGATTACAACTTTAAGGTTACAGGTAATATTACAGGTAAAAAGCGCAATTTATAAAAGGTGCATCAAAAGTTAAAGCGCAAGTGTCCATCATGTTTGAAGTGCAAATGTTCTTTTGTGTTAAAAGATGTCCTGCCCCGATAGTAGAGGGCATTATGTTTTCTGGTCTGTACGTCTGTCTATCTGTCCTCTATCAGTTAAAGTTTTGGTTTAAGGTTGTTTACCATGAAGTTATGGTCACATCAACATGAAACTTAGTACACTTGGACATATATTAATAATATTATGATGTTAACTGTTAGAAGTATTTGCCAAATAAGTGGTATGACACAGAACTTGCAATTCAATGAATAAGAAATTGTGATAGGGAGTGGGGCATGGTGTCCTGAGGAAACATGGTAAGAAAAAAGATATGAAAATATACCAGGATCAGTCATATGATAAACAACTTGTTTTAAGGCAGACAATCTTCATGATCAGTAAGACATAATATAAATGTGATTTGTTTTCACTTTCCAGATAACTCTTTCCAAAACATTGAAGGCAGTTTGTGTGTTGAGAGGTTTTCTTATAGAATATGTAAATGTGAAAGCCTATAATGAAGATTTTCTCTCAAATGATGGAAAGGTAAATGTTTCTTACATTGTACATTAACAGTAAAGTGTTCATTGGCATTATTATACGACCGCTTTTTGCGGTCGTATATTGGTATGACGTTGACGTTGGCGTTGTCGTCGTCGTCCGAAGACACACTGGTTTTCACACAATAACTTTAGTTTAAGTGAATGGATCTCTATGAAATTTTACCATAAGGTTCAATACCACAAAAGGAAGGATTGATTTTGGTGGTAATGATACGAACAGTTAAGGAAAAAGGGGCCAAAAATAAGCATTTTTCTAGTTTCCAGACAATAACTTGTGGAACCGTGTATGGATCTCTCTGAAATTATACCACAAGTTTCCATACCACAAAGGGATGGTAAGGATTTGCTTTGGGGGTTTATGGCTCAAACCGTATAGGAATTAGGGGCAAAAAAGGAGGGAAAACAAAGGTGTCCTGGTTAATGGACAAATACTTTAGTACAAAACATAATTTAAAGCAGTGTAAGGGAGGTAATTCAAATACATTATTTGATTTAAATCCCTTACACTGCTTTTAAATTATGTATAAAGTAATGGTTAATGAACAATTAAGCAATTTAAAAGCAGTGTAAGGGAGGTAATCCAAATACAACGTTTTGATTACCTCCCTTACACTGCTTTTAAATTATGTTTAAAGAAATGCATATTTATAAAGGAAGACCAGTAAAAATATCTGCAAATGTTGCATCTTTTTTATGCAGTGGGGGCATTAAGTTTTACCCTTGTCCGTCTGTACATACGTACGTCTGTCCGTACGTTCCAAAATTGGCTTCTGTTCTTTTCTGTTCTCTAACTTGAGTTTGCCTCAACCAAATGTTATGGAACTTATACACTATGCTTATTACCACAAAACACAGATCAAATTTGAATTTTGGTGGCGTCACTTTAACTGTTCTTGAGTTATGCCCCTTTATGAATGGAAAAATTGCAAAATTTTTAGTTTCTGTTCTCTAACTTAAGTTTGCCTCAACCAAATGTTATGAAACTTATACATAATGCTAACTACCACAAAACACAGATCATGTTTGAATTTTGGTGGCATCACTTTAACCGTTCTAGAGTTATGCCCCTTTATAAAGGGAAAAATTGCAAAATTTTTAGTTTCTGTTCTCTAACTTAAGTTTGCCTCAACCAAATGTTATGAAACTTATACACAATGCTTATTACCACAAAACACAGATCATGTTTGAATTTTGGTGGCATCACTTTAACCGTTCTAGAGTTATGCCCCTTTATAAAGGGAAAAATTGCAAAAATTTTAGTTTCTGTTCTCTAACTTAAGTTTGCCTCAACCAAATGTTATGAAACTTATACACAATGCTTATTACCACAAAACACAGATCATGTTTGAAATTTGGTGGCATCACTTTAACTGTTCTAGAGTTATGCCCCTTTATAAATGGAAAAGTTGCAAAATTTTTATTTTCTTCTTAATATCAAGTAATTTTTAAAATTGGAGTTATCTTCCTTTGTCCGTGATTATAGTTGAATCAACTACAATCAATGCTTTATACAATGCAATGTTTAATTTTGACTTCCACTGATAAAACACAGATCTAGTTGAATTTGGTAGTGTCACTTTAACCATTATTGAGTTATGCCCCTTTATAAATCGAAAGATTGCAAAATTTTTAGTTTCCATTCTGTAACTTAAGTTTGCCCCAACCAAACATTATGAAACCTATACACAATATTCATTACCACAAAACTAAGATCAAGTACATATTTTTTGTTTCCGTTTTCCAACTTTAGTTTGCCTCAACCAAATGTTATGAAACTTATACAAAATGCTTATTACTACATAATACAGATTAAGTACGAAATTTGGTGGCAACCCTTTTACCATTCTTGTATTATGTCCCTTTATAAACATAAAAATTGCTGAATTTCACGTTTCCGTTCTCTAACTTTAGTTTGTCTCAACCAAATGTTATAAAACTTATACACAACCGTTCTAGAGTTATGCGTATTTACAAATAGAAAAAATTGCTGAATTTTTAGTTTCTGTTCTCTACTTAAAGGGGCACTAGCTACGAGATATGAAAAAAAATATAAAATATGATTTTTTTTGTTCAATCATTAATGAAAGTGGAATAGTGAAATAATAATTCGCTTTTAGCAGCCAGTATTGTCTAATTTTTTTCAAAATAAGCAAATGAATATTGATGATGAATTATTCACTTGCAAGTGAATAATTTGACCTAATTGAATCCGTATTCATGTGAACTTCAATTTAACCCCTTGATAGAGTTGGATAATGCATGAATTGTGTGCATGTTTGATTATTTAAAGGAAAAGAATGTCAACATTGAAAGTAAAATAAGGTAATTCATTTAATTGACTGATTCGATCCTCAAAAAAATCATTCTTATACAGGTAAAAATGATGATTAACATATATTTTAAATCTATAAATGAAATTAGATAGACCTAGAAGAATCCAATTGCACAAGTTGCGCTATCTATTTATATCTTTATTTATGTTTATATCCCTTATATGGGCATCGGTGGTTTTCGTGAGGTCTACTCGACAGTTAATTAGATGGCGTCTAGACTAAAATACACACAAAACGAAGCTACATATTATCAACACTATGCCCTGTAAATTGTTTATTTTAGATTTTTTATAATTTGGAGAAATGTTTTACATTGTTATATAACAAATATGAGAATTTGAGTCAAATCGGTGAACATGAATTTGACAGCTAGTGCCCCTTTAAGTTTGCCTCAACCAAATGTTATGAGACTTGCACACAATAAAATTGAGAATGGAAATGGGGAATGTGTCAAAGAGACAACAACCCGACCACAGAACAGACAACAGCAGAAGGCCACCAACAGGTCTTCAATGCAGCGAGAAATTCCCGCACCCGGAGGCGTCCTTCAGCTGGCCCATAAACAAATATATATACTAGTTCAGTGATAATGAACGCCATACTAAACTCCAAATTGTACACAAGAAACTAAAATTAAAAATAATACAAGACTAACAAAGGCTAGAGGCTCCTGACTTGGGACAGGCGCAAAAATGCGGCGGGGTTAAACATGTTTATGAGATCTCAACCCTCCCCCTATACCTCTAGCCAATGTAGAAAAGTAAACGCATAACAATACGCACATTAAAATTCAGTTCAAGAGAAGTCCGAGTCTGATGTCAGAAGATGTTACCAAAGAAAATAAACAAAATGACAATAATACATAAATAACAACAGACTACTAGCAGTTAACTGACATGCCAGCTCCAGACTTCAATTAAACTGATTGAAAGATTATGTCTTCATCATATGAATATCAGGCACAATCCTTCCCGTTAGGGGTTTAGTATCATACCATCATAACATATATGAGAAGAACATAACCCGTGTCATGCCAACAACTGGTTTTTAAATAAATGTGTTTAGTGCCGATGCAAAGACTCTATAAGTGAATCAATATTAACGCCAAAATATGCAATCTTTAATGACCTGACAACAGTATCGTAACTATATCCCTTCTTAATAAGTCTATTTAAAGGTTTTGTTAGTTTCAGAGGTGAATACTGACATTTTTGTGCTTTATAAAGAATATTTCCATAAAAAATTGGATGTGAAATACCTGAACGTATAAGAAGTCTGCATGTTGAGCTATATTTACGAATGATGTCCTTATACCGATGATAAAATTTAGTAAATGTTTTGACTAGTTTGTGATATCGAAAACCCTGGTGTAATAATTTTTCAGTAATACATAAATGCTTATTACCACAAAACTCAGATCAAGTTCAAATTTGGGTAGCATCATTTTTACTGTTCTTCAGTTATGTCCCTTTATAACTATATGATATGCAAGCGGGGGCATAATCTGTGTCCACATGTGGACACTATCCATATTTATTTTTTTACAAAAAAATCCATATGAAAGATTTGACACCATATTTTAAATTCTATTATAAAATAGATTAAGTTAGCACTATGGTAAATAATTTAAATGGGTAATTATGGTTGCAAACTCCATTGGAAATTTGAATTGAGATTATGACGCTAAAAAAAAAAAGTGTGTGTGTGTGTGTGGGGGGGGGGGGGGGGGGGGTTAATACGCAACAGCATAGTGAATTGCACAAAAGCAACAAAAAAAAGGGGGTAAATTTTTTATTTTTTTTTGTGGGGGGAAGGGGGGTCAATTCGCAACAGCAAATTGTATTGCACAAAAGCAAAAAATTGAATATAAATTCAAATAATATAACCAATTCTAAGTTCTTTGACTACAGTTATTCTGTGTCAGAAACCTTTTATGTGTCAAATATTTAATTACAATCCAAATTCAGACCTGTATCAAGCACGATTATTGCGTCCATTTTTGCCCCAACTGTTCAGGGTTGGAACCTCTGCTGTCGTATCCAGCTGCGCTTGGCGAAGCAATTTATATAGGATCTGGTATAGAAAAAATACTAGAGGATTTTGCTTAGAAAAATAGTAGAGGATCTGACAAGGAAAAAAAATACTATAGGATCTGACATAGAAAAAATACTATAGGATCTGACATAGAAAAAATAGTGTAGGATCTGACATAGAAATAATACTATAGGATCTGACATAGAAAAAATACTATAGGATCTGACATAGAAAAAATACTATAGAATCTGACATAGAAAAAATACTATAGGATCTGACATAGAAAAAATAGTGTAGGATCTGACATAGAAATAATACTATAGGATCTGACATAGAAAAAAATACTATAGGATCTGACATAGAAATAATACTATAGGATCTGACATAGAAAATACTATAGGATCTTGCATAGAAAAAATACTATAGGATCTGACATAGAAAACATACTATAGGATCTGACATAGAAAAAATACTATAGGATCTTGCATAGAAAAAATACTATAGAATCTGACATAGAAAAAACACTATAGGATCTTGCATAGAAAAATACTTTTTTCCAGCCTGAGTACTCACTGGATCAACTGAAAATATCTGTTTTCAAAAGCAGTACAGGTTATTCATCTTCATTTACTTTTATCATGTTTATAGAATTTAAATCATATCTTATATAATTTATTTTTTACCTGATACATTTTTTTATTTAAAGTTAATCATATATATACCTCATCTATAATAGTTGATAAATAACATTTTGGATACATATTTATAATCTGATAATAATTAATGATCATAAATTACATTCTCACAAAATTCCTTACAATTTTTTGATGATTACCAATTTATGATCATATTTTTTCATTATAAAGTTATATAAGGCAGAAGTTACCTGTGAAAGATGACGAAGATATATAACTTATTATGTAAAACAGTCATACTTATTAAAAAATTAATGAGATAATTTTTTTTTTCTTTGTTGTGCAATGTTACTACAAAAATCAGAAATATACATATACAGTTAAACTACCATTATTAGTCTTTGTCTTCAAGATTTAAGCATGAACTATAAAATAACCAAGTATTAAACAAATTTATTGCATAATTTCTGTTGAAAAGTAAGCTGAAATATAGAATCGTTCTCGATGTTGGTCATGCTAATAGGCATTTTATTTATGTAACTGTAGAGGATAAAAAAAAGTATAAAGGGAAGTGGTACAATTTTATTTTAATTGTCTTAATGCATGTCATCATACTTTTTGGTAATCAGATATACTGCTGTATGTTGTATCCTCCTTTCTGATGTAATCAGACAGATAATTGCAGCAAATTCTATTCTTCTATATGATGTTTTACCAAAAATTCTGAGAGAAACAAAAACTGAAAGAGATGTCTGTGCAAATGCAAAAGATAGAAAAACTTAAATTGAAGGATTTTGGATTCACTACTTTTTATAATTTTTTCTTTTTATTGTTTTTTTGTACTGTTATAATGACTTCTTCCTCTATTACTATCTAATTTGAAAGCACAAGAACAAGATGAAATAGTAAAAAAAAAGATAATTCATGCAGCAATTTGAATTACTGTTGAACCTTGCTAGTTACTTTATATGTTAGTTTGTATGTTGGGGTGCATTTTAAGATATCATTTACTAATAGTGCATGGTTTTTATTTTGATACTCTTTCTCTGAATTACAGATAGACTTATGGTCAAAGTCAAGGTATAAAGTGTTTGAAAAGGTAAATAGTTAAAGCAATATTCTTTTGCAGAAACAATTTCTCTAGTTTAAAAGCTTTGACCATCACATTATGATAGCACTATTGGGTCGACTGCATGGTTGCTTTGAGTTAAGAAGATCTTGGGATAAATCTGTGAATGGCTTAATCAATGGCAAAGGTCATAAAATGATACGAACATTCCGGTAACCAAATTCTCATTTATCGTCTGATTTGAAGAAAGTTATATACTTGCTGTTTTATTAAACTATAATCATCTGAGGAAAGTTTCCTGTGTTGTACATGTTTGGAGTAATTTGGAGTATATTTTAGTAATTCGGGTACCTTCAGAGCTTTCAGCACCATCAACCTAATGTTAAAACTCAATTACATGTTTTTGACCTCACAATTAAACCGGTCATTCTATATGGAAGTATAATTTGGGGCTCATCCTCAGCTGAAAAGATCATTAGGCAACAGGATAAATACTTTAAATCTTTAAATACAGAAAACATACATATTAAATTTTGCAAATACATTTTGGAAGTCAGTAAACATTCTACAAACTTGGCAATTTTGAGAGAACTTGGTAAATTCCCTTTATTATTGGAAGTGTTTGAGAATATGACTAAATTTTGGGCTGAGTCATAACAAAACCCTAGAGATCTGGCCTGGTTACTGAAGCCTATAATACATGAAATTTCTTTACACTCTGAAAATAAGCCATGTTGGTATGGCAACATTATTAGGATAGTACATTATTTTCAGATAAAACCAAAATATTTTCTCTTAAATCTTAACTAAAAGAATATTTATATAAATCTTTACATAAAAAAGTATGTTGGTGTATGGTTGCGTGACCTTTTTTAGGACCTTTTTTAGGATAGCAAAAATCTATCTGGAAGTAATAAACTTAGATCATACAGATTGTTTAAAATATAAACTTTACTATGAAAATTATCTGTACTGAGGTACAAAATAATAAACATAGAAGACTTAACTACAAAATTTCATAATTTGGAAAAGATGGGGGAGATATTAAGACATACCAGCTATTTAAAGAATATGTAATTTGTGTAAATCAGCTGTGGAGGATGGGATTCACTCCCTTTAAGAGTGTCCCAAAACAAATAATATTAGGTGTGACATTCTAAACAATACTGATCATAAATCCAAATTCATTTGCCTGATGTCTGCTGAAGATCGATTTATTTATCTCTATACAACACCATACCCTACTGAACAAATTGAACCATGCAAAACTTGACAGTGCACTGGCTTAAATCTGTTTTTATAATCAATCCTTATTTACTTATATTAGTTACATTGAATACATGAAATATAATGATTATTGTACATAGACATTTGCCAGTTGGATATAATATACAGAGCTCTGCATCCCCTATTTTTTCACTGTATTTAATGAATATAAGCACTTTAGTAAGGTGTGTTTTTTTATCTTCTTTTTTGTTCTTGTTTATACTTATGATTCCTGCCTTTGTACAACACTGCTTCTTGATGTGAACAAATTGGCATTAAAGAAAATTTGTTTGATTGAATAAGGATTGAATAAGGATTTGCATATTTAAACAAGGACGATTTCTTTTTTCATTAGAAAATGTAACAGATGCTTTAATGATTCTAATTTAATATATGTGTAATAATTCCAGGTATCAGATCTGATGATGGCTGGCATACAGCACTACTATTACCCACAGATGCCAGAGATAACAATCAGGACATTCATAGTAAGTTTGTAATCCACAGATGTTCTTTACTCCATTGGTAGGTTTCCAGTAGTCCATTTTCAAATTATTTACTAATTTTAGAATTTTTGGCAAAAGAAGACAAGTCTCAAAGTAGAAAAGACCCTTCCTTCTCAATGTAAGCCTTAAGAAAGGATCTTGTATTAATATTTGTATATGATGTTCATAGTTTTCCTTGGGTACCCACCTATTTTGACATCCCCTTTTTACCATTAATGTGATCTGATCCTACACAATACATTACACTTGCAGAGACCACAGTTTGTACTACCCTGGAATTTTTTCCCTTTTAAAAATATTTTAGAAATAGACAAATTGTAATTAAAAATAGACAATTTACAGAATGTCAGAAGATACAAGCAAGATGTTCTAAGTAATGTTGTTCACTGAGATATGCTTTTGGATAAATTACAATCATAACATTCATTAATAAGTCCACTGATCTCCCTAATTGTGTTTGTCTTCCATCATAAAGATTTACACTGACATTCAGTTTGTGCTGAAATTTTAGAACTTTTTTGAAGAAGTTGATATTTCAAGAAATAAGTATTTTCATGGCCCTCTAGTTTTAAATATGACCAGATAATCTATTTAATGGCCAAAATATTTAGCTTTTGTAACAAACTAATAAAGGATAAATCAACTAATTAAAATGAAGGCATATTAAAAATCTAAATCACTACAGCAATCATACAGTATATTAATAGGTATAGTTTTAAAACGTTCAATATTTGATTACAACCTTGTCCTTTGGTCTTTTGTCGTTGGTTGCAGTCATGCGACATATCCTTATATTTATTTAAGAACCATAATTTCCAAACACTTTTTGAGACCTAAGTAGAGGCCAATTTGCCACTCTTCTGGGCCTGGACATGGGTATGACATTCATTTCTTAGTCAGCAGTGAAACCTTATAAATAAAACAGCCTCCTTTAGATTACTGTACCTAAATAAAAAATATAAACGATACTGATGGTTATAACCACATTACATATATGTACAATGAATAACAATCATAAGGTATGCTTGACACTTAATTCTGGAACATAAAACTGTGTAAGCCTCAAACTAAACAAGACAGGAAACCATCTATGATTAACATTGACATTGTGTGATGAACTAAACAAGACAGGAAACCATCTATGATTCACATTGACATTGTGTGATGAACTACACAAGACAGGAAACCATCTATGATTCACATTGACATTGTGTGATGAACTAAACAAGACAGGGAACCATCTATGATTCACATTGACATTGTGTGATGAACTAAACAATACAGGAAACCATCTATGATTCACATTGACATTGTGTGATGAACTAAACAAGACAGGAAACCATCTATGATTCACATTGACATTGTGTGATGAATTAAACAAGACAGGAAACCATCTATGATTCACATTGACATTATATGATGAACTAAACAAGACATGAAACCATCTATGATTCACATTGACATTGTGTGATGAACTAAACAAGACAGGAAACCATTTATGATTAACATTGACATTGTCTGATGAAGTTGCAACCTTAGTTTTAGTATAGTGATATAACTAATAGACAGAAAATGTACACCCAAAATATATCAATTAAATAATGTCAATATAGAAGCACTGGGTACAGATTCGTGGCTAAATCATTTCTTATATACATTCTGAATTTGCCATGTAGTTGAATACATTAATCCAACAGTAAGACATTCTGAATAATTGAGTTACAGCCCTTAGACTTTAAATTAGGTAAAACTATGCTCTTTTTTTTTTTTGCATTTAGACAATATATCTTGTTGTTTATAATGAATAGATAAGTAACATTTAATTAAACTTAATTTACATTGAAGAGAACAATGACAATTTGCCTTTATGGACATTTTTATTGTATGCTTTATTCTATGTTTCAAAAAAATCCTGAAATTTTGTAATGTTTATTGAAACATTTTTTACATATTTATATGATTGTTAAAAGGCATGATAGTTAGATGTATATAATCAATATCCTAATTATAACCCCGCTTTAAAAAAGTGGGGGTATACTGTTTTACCTCTGTCTGTCCGTCCATCCGTCAGTCCATCCATCCGTCCGTCCGTCCGTCCGTCCGTCCGTCCGTCCGTCCTATGAATATTTTTCGTCGCATCTTTCTCAGGAACTACATTACAAGGATTTCTGAAATTTGGTTTCAGGGTTTATATGAGTCAGCTATACAGTGTGATGCGTTTTCAGATTCATCACTCAACAACTTTCTGTTTACCGAACACTTGTATCATTTTACACATGATAGCCAAGTTGAAAATTTTCATCACATTTTTCTCAGGAACTACAATACAAGGATTTCTGAAATTTGGTTTCAGGGTTTATATAAGTCAGCTGTACAGTGTGATGTGTTTTCAGATTCATCACTCAACAACTTCCTGTTTACCGAATACTTACATATTTTTACACTATTAAAATTATCCACTTGGAGCGGGGGTATCATCAGTGAGCAGTAGCTTTCACTTGTTTATACTTCATTAATGTAAATAAAAGATGGTGTAGGGTACGTTAAATGTGAAAGCATCCCAAAAATACAAATTACCAGAAGACGCCTAGAGGTCAACATCAAGTTCACTGACTTCTGGTTTGCCATACAGTCAAAATATTTGTATAGCCCCATCAAACAAAATTGAATAGTAAAATAGGAATCAGTCCAACCATATGTCAGAACTTATTCCTGAATCGTTTGTCCAATTAATGTCATACTTTGTACAGATACAGATCATGATGTGCGACACTTTGCACTTTTTGATGCTATTTAATACATGTAAAGGTGAATATAGTAAAATAGAAATCTACATAAAAATGCCTATCAGTAAGGTGAAATATACCTATAAAACAATTGAACTTATTTGTCCTTCTCTGCAGACAGTTTTTTGTTGTTTTAAAATTTAATACCCTCGCAGCTTTCGAGGGGTGCTCTGAATAACAGAGGAATCTACCAGTACATACATATGGTTAAAAGGAGGAAGGATGAGATATAAGTACCGGTAGATGAATTTGAGACGATATCTTAAATTATGAAGTTAAAAGAAACTAAGGTTATTGCATGGTCTTCAACATTGAGCGTACGTTATCATCCTTTCATAAATTTTTAGACACAAATTGGTTGACTGTTATGGAATATCGGTTTCACAGATGACGATGGATTTGTTTCAATTGTCGCAACCACAGTCCTGTCCTCTTTTCCCCGAATGTCACCTATCTAATTAGACCAGTTAGGACTTACCTGAGGTTTTTGGTGGGGTTCGTTTTTCTATATTGTGTTTTGTGTAGTGTTGTTTTTCTTTTGGTGTTTTATTTCTGCCATGGTGTTGTCAGTATATTTTCGACTAATATATTTGAATGTCACTTTGGTATCTTTCGCCTCTCTTTTATCACAATATCGGAGATAAAGAATGTCCAGTAAGTCAACACATTTGTTTAATTGCCTTTATGTAAATTTTTAGTGTAACCAACACTTTCTTTATCAAATGAATGTAAAGATATTTGTAATACAACAACTTCCCTAAAACACATCAATCTCCTTCTGTTACTGTGGATTCATTTATTTCCATGGGAACCAATATTCGTGGATTGAGGAACAATTATATTTTCGAGGATACTTGATTTCATGGTTTAACATATGTAGAGCCTAGAGAAAATGTCTACTACATTGAATGTTTAAATTTGTTGGTCACCTATACCCAAAAAATTCAAGAAAATTGGTATTCCACAGATAATGAATCCACAGTAATAATGACTCCACAGTAATTCAGGTATGATTATATGTATCTAATATACTGTAGGATATTTCTTACTTCTTTATATTACTTATTTCAGCAGCAGTGGTTTAATTCCTACAAGACATTATTTTCTGCACCATGTTCAAAGTGTGGTAAACATTTACAAGGAGGATTACCTCCAGTGTGGAGAGATTTCAGAACATTAACGCCATTACATGATGGATGTAGATAATAAATATATCTGTGCTCAAATTATTATTGTTGAACTACTGCAAAACTGTGTTTGGGTCTAGTATCCCAATTTTGTGGTGATTGCTGTTGTCCTTGTCAAATGGGTACTTTGTTAAAAGTATTAAACTCTTCAAGTATTGATATCATCCTTTATACAGAATACAACAAATTCAGAATTGAATTAAAATTTGTTTTACAAGGTCAGTTTTAAACTTGATTAATGGAGTGGTGGAATGTGTTGTTACAAGTTCTGGGAGATTATGAATAACAAAAAAGATTTGTTATGGCCTGTTTGAATGTTTGTTGTAGCAGGTTGGATCAATAGTGGCTAGATTTCAGTTCTGATGTCTATTCTGTTCTATGTGTTTCAGTCCTAAATGGGCTTCCTGAATAAACTCTGTCACTGATCTAAAAATGGATTTAGCAAATAAATAAATGATTAAGAAATCAAGTATGAAGTTTGTCTTTTTTGTTTCTGCCAATTAACCAACATAGCTGCCATGGCTAAAAATAGAATATACTATTTGAAATGCATTTAAGAGATAACTGTATTGTATTTGAAGCTTTCCAGACCTCCATGGGTTGTTTTACTGTGGTATTTGTGTTTACCTGGCTACCTGTAGCGCAGACAGGTAAACAGATATTTGTGACAGTAAAACTACCGATGGACAAACCTGAACCGCAAAGCTTCAAATACTATACAGTTATCTTTATATCAATACAAAAACAAATCATTCATTCAGAATGGAATGAAACCAAACATGGCATGAATGTTCCTTATGAGGTGCTGACCAAGTGTTGTTACTTTGAAGCCGATCCATCATCCAAGATGGCCGCCAGCGGGGGACTTAGTTTAACATAGGACCCTATGGGAAATATTTACAAATGTCTTCTTTTAGAGAACCGCTGAATAGAATGAAACCAAACATGGCATGAATGTTTCTTATGAGGTGCTGACCAAGTGTTGTAACTCTGAAGCCGATCCATAATCCAAGTGTTGTTACTTTGAAGCTTATCCTTCATCCACGATGGCTGCCAGCGGGGGGACTTCCTTTAACATAAAACCCTATGGGATAAACGTTTCCCATAAACTGAACTGCCGAAGAATCGACGGAAGAAAAACATTTAAAGCCCAGAAGTTTCCACCGCATAATTTCCAAAACCCATTGTAATGGGTGGAACAAACGCATATTCAGAATGTGTAAAACAGAACCCAAAACATGTGGAACAGAATTGGTTGATCTTTCTGACAATCATTTTAGCGTTTGTTACAGGCAGTCATTGCTTTTGACGGTGCCACATTCATTCAAAAAATTAAAAAGAATAATCTAGTGTTGCGTTTCTAAAGTCGGTCAGTATATAAAAGTCAAGTATAATGATTATGTTCAATACAACTGCATAAAATGTAATGAAAAAATAAACATGATAAAATAAATATTCCATATTTTTTCAACTGGTTAATTTCAATAAATGATCTATTGTTTTGTATTTGAAAGAATTAACATTTGTAATATTTCGTAACGATATTAGCAAATTGTTCCACAAGAATGGTCAAGAATATATAAAAGATTTCTTGAACAATTCTATTTTTTGGTTTAGGGAGTATGAGGTTTCCTTGAACAGTATTTCTCAAGGGGTATGGATTTCTGTCTGAAACATTATGAAACTTGCTAGTAAGATATGATGGGGATCATTTTTCGATGCACTTAAATGTCATCACAAACTTGTGATATTTTATTCTCTTTTCAACTGTCATCCAGTTTAAGTGTATGAATAAGGGTTCAGAAGGAGCAAAAGGGTCTGTTTCTAGTATTATTCTAGCAGCTCTCTTTTGTAATTTTAATATCCTATTTACAGACCATTAGATAGAGAATTGTATGCTGATAGTCATCCAATCAGAACCATTGATAAAAAATAATTTCATTAGAATTAATGTTAAATATAATGAAAACCTTAAAAGATAGAGAATGTCTGAGAGGCCAAAATGTTAAGATCTACTCCTTTCCTATTTCCACCAAACTTATCAGATGACCGCTTATAGGAGTTATTGCCCTTAAATCATGATTTTTGACTAATGTACAACTTTTTGCCTACTTTTGACTAAAAGCTTTATAGATAGTAAAAACTGTGAATACCAAATATGATCAGCTAAACAAGATCTACAATAAAGCTGTATAACCGAAAGACTTGAATGACTTGTAGTAGTAGTTGTTGTCCTTTAAAAACAATTTTAATTACCAGTATTTTTTTTTAATTTTTGCATATTATCTTGAAAACTTTAATGGATAGGTAAAAATTAAAAACAGAAAATGATCAGCAAATCCAGATCTACCAAAATGACAATACAACCAAAACCTTGGGATGACTCCTTATAGGAATTTTTGCCCTTGAATGCCACTTTTTGACTTAAAGAGTTTGTTTTTGCCTATTAATCCTTGAACTATAATAGATTCATAGATACTGTGAACAGCAAATAAGTTCAGCAATATCAGATCAAAAAGAATTCCAATATTAAAGAAACCATTCGGCATTGGAAGACCCCAAATAGTAGTAAATGCCACTCAAGGATGATTTTTATGCCCCCCCCCCCCCCCCCCCCGTAGCGGAGGGGGCATTAAGTTTTACCCTTGTCCATCTGTACATCCGTACGTACGTCCCAAAATTGATTTCCGTTCTCTAACTTTAGTTTGCCTCGACCAAATGTTATGAAACTTATACACAATGCTTATTACCACAAAACACAGATCAAGTTTGAATTTTGGTGGCGTCACTTTTGCCGTTCTTGAGTTATGCCCCTTTACAAATTGAAAAATTGCTGAATTTTATGTTTCCGTTCTCTAATTTTAGTTTGCCTCAACTAGATGTTATGAAACTTAAACACAATGCTTATTACCACAAAACACAGATCAAGTACAAATTTTGGTGGGGTCACTTTTACTGTTTTAGAGTTATGCCCTTTACAAATGGAAAAATTGCTTAATTTTTTGTTTCCATTCTCTAACTTTTATAAATTAGTTTGCCTCAACCAAATGTTATGAAACTTATACACAATGCTTATTACCTTAAAACACAGACCAAGTTTGAATTTTGGTGGCGTCACTTTTGCCGATCTAGAGTTATGCCCCTTTACAAATGAAAAAATTGCTAAATTTTTGGTTTCTATTCTCTAACTTTAGTTTGCCTCAATCAAATGTTACGAAACTTATACACAATGCTTATTACCACAAAACACAGATCAAGTTTGAACTTTGGTGGTGTCACTTTTATCGTTCTAAAGTTATGCCCCTTTACAAATGGAAAAATTGCTGGATTTTTTGTTTCGGTTCTCTAACTTAAGTTTGCCTCAACTAAATGTTATGAAACGTATACACAATACTAATTAACACAAAACTCTGATCAAGTACAAATTTGGCAAGTGGGGGCATCATCTGTGTCCCATGGACACATTCGCCATTTATTAATTTACTTTATCTCCTGTAGTTGGTGAATGCAATACTGGTATACCCAATACTGGAATAAAATTTTGTTCCAGTATTGTAAAAAAAATATATAAAAAAGATAACAATACTGATATACCATATTCCAGTAATGTACACATTTACTGATGGTATGGTTGAATTTTTGAATAATATTTCTGAATAATATGTTTTTTTAAGCATTTAAGTACGTTTTTTGTCCCCTGAGACGATTAATCCACTATAAATTGGTACATATTGTATTTATTAAACCTGAAGTCATTTAACATCTAATCCCCTTGTTTTATTTATTTTGTATTTACATTGTGTCATAGATCAAATTTATTCGTTCAGTGTATGTTCACTTGTTCTTGTTAATATGTCTTTTGATTGAGTTAAGCCTTTTCAATTGATATTTTATAGTGTGTCTTTCTATGTTGTGATGTTACACTATTGTTCAGGTAGGGTGAAGGTTGGCGCCTATTAAAACGTTTAAACCCGCTGCATTTGTATGCACCTGTCCTAACTCAGGAACCTGATGTTCAGTGGTTGTCGTTTGTTGATGTGGTTCATAAGTGTTTCTTGCTTCTCGTTTTTTATATAGATTAGACCGTTGGTTTTCGTGTTTGAATGGTTTTACACTAGTCATTTTTGGGGCCCTTTATAGCTTGCTGTTCGATGTGAGCCAAGGCTCCGTGTTGAAGGTCGTACTTTGACCTATAATGGTTTACTTTTACAAATTGTGACTTGGATGGAGAGTTGTCTCATTGGCACTCATACCACGTCTTCTTATTATATCCCCGCTTTAAAAAAGTAGGGGTATACTGTTTTACCTCTGTCTGTCCGTCCATCCATTCATCCATCCATCAGTCTGTCAGTCCGTCAGTCTGTCCATCCGTCCCATGAACATTTTTCGTCACATCTTTCTCAGGAACTACAATACAAGGATTTCTGAAATTTGGTTTCAGGGTTTATATAAGTCAGCTATACCGTATGATGCGTTTTTTGATTGATCACTCAACAACTTCCTGTTTACCGAACACTTACATCGTTTTACACAACACATCCAAGTTGAAAATTTTCGTCACATTTTTCTCAGGAACTACATTACAATGATTTCTGAAATTTGGTTTCAGTGTTTATATAAGTCAGATATATAGTGTGATGTGTTTTCAGATTCATCACTCAACAATTTCATGTTACCGTCAAGTATTTTGGCTTGGGGTATCCGGCATCAGTGAGCAGTAGTTCGCAGTTTCACTTGTATCTATTTAAATTATCATTTCAATGATATGCATTTTCTCCAGGTTTACTGTGGATTAAATATTTTTTAACTTGGTATTTATATAAAATAAGGAAAAATCAGTACCGATTTTGACCCAAAAGTGGGATGGAATGAGGGATCATAAGACGTAATTATCATTACTTTTTATTTTGTAATCATTTTTATCAGATTCTTGACTTTAAAAAAGGTACCCCTGTTTTATTCCCATGGTTGCAAAAAAAATTTGCAGTCTTTGAAAAAAAATGCATTTTTTTTTTCATTTTTCAGCTTGTTGCTATGGTGCTGATTTCGTTGCTTTGGAAACAAAATGACTTGTTATCATTATCATTAAATATTTATATTAAAATAAATAATTATTATATTTCTTTTGAAAAATTAAATGTATTTTATTCCAGCCTTTTTTATATATCCACCAGAGCACTTTACTTTCTATCTAATTATTACATCTTTTTATTGGTATTTTGAACCTCAAAAGCAAGTTAACATTGAGTCTTGGGACAAAACAAAAACCACTTGGTGGAAGAAAGTTTTTTTCATATTCTACAATATGACAATTGTTTGGAAAGATTTTGAAACGACCCATATACCACACACTGCATGGACCATAGGAAGAACTGTACTTTAAAAAGTTGTAGTTTCATAGTATTATTGCTAAATATATATATTTTATTCAAATAAAAATTAAGTCATTTTAAGGCGATAGAAATTTCC